GCCGCAGCATCTTTCCTGGAGTGCCAGGTGTCTTTCAAGGAGCTGTATAGTACATATAAATAGAATCATTCTATTTTTATGCTACAGTGATATGTATAGTAGCAGAAGAGGTAGTGAGGCCACTGAGGAGACAGGTATTAACGTGTTTACAGGTATTACCAGTTGCCTTTGGTTAATCCTCGGCTGGCCTGCTCATGACCATCTCATGATCCGGCGATGTAATCTGGGTACGCTTAAGGAGATCCCAGCCTTTCTGGCGCATGAATGGCAGCAGGCAGGGCTGTGCCACGGTGCCAGCAGAGGGATCGCTCAAGATCCACTGCAAAATTAGACGTTCGTTCAGGTAAGCAGGACGTCAAAGCGGCCACTAGGGGCAACGGTGAGCGCTATTAACATTAAATTGGGCTTGGGTTTTACTAGGACGTTGTGGAAATGAATGGTGAATGTGTGTAAGCCACAAGCTCCGGCTCCAAGGGTCGCGTGTTCAATCCCAGTGCTAGGCGTTCGTTTTCTTTTAACCCTATCCCAAATCTGAAACCTTACCATGGAGTTGTTTTTGTTTTAAACCTATCCCAATCTTTAACCATTAGGATTTAATGCCTAAATTCAACCTTCGAAATTTGACGTTTAGGGACAAGGGTTTGGACGTTTGACTCTGCAGAGAGACTGTGAGAGCTTGTTGGGGCCGGACATCATTCAATCTAGCTACCTGAGTGTCACCATCTGCCTTGTGTGTTTTGGACAGAGATTGCTATTACCGACTGTGCATTTAAGTGGAAATGACAACCAATACAAGGAAAGATCATAAAAATAGGGGTCTCCACATAATAGTGGAAAGGATATCAGTACTGCTTTAATCCCTATCTGACAACCATTGTATCACTGATGTCAACCATTATATCAATGGTGTCAAACATGTAAGAACACAATAGAAATACCTTTCACTTGTTGACCTCATGTTGACCTACCTACACCATCAAGAGTCAGAGGGAAACTTTGGAGAGACCCCATAATCTCCTTATCACGTTGAGTGCCGCACCATTTGAGTCAACAGATCAATTCACATTTCGCTATGCCAGCCATCTGCACAAGGCTTGGCTGAACAACCATCTGTCGTCCTGGCAACAACACGACCCAAAACCCAGCCCTAATACCACTTTACACCATGTCTAACCCAGGCAAGAGGGACATTTTTATTTATTATTACTGTCTTAATAAACAAACACATTAACGTAACATATCATACATCTGCCCACATTCTTGATGCATTGATACGTTTTTATATGATAATACATTTTCAAAGCTTTACTTCTATCAGGTTAAACAAAACCAGACTGAACAAAATTCAACCTTTTAGTGGAGTAAACAGACCATTCACTTGAGAGAACATTGTTCCTGGTTGGCTTTACCAGCCAATCAGAAATAGCAATCCAGACCGTGCTGTTCCTTAGTTCCCCTTTAAAATGCTGGTGAGCCATTTGTATGTGGAGACAGGACTGTGCATAATGAAAGAGTTAAGTAACATAATCACATGAAAGAGTCAGTAACATAACCACATGAAAGAGTTAAGTAACATAACCACATGAAAGACTTTGTGACATATCCACATGAAAGAGTTAAGTAACATAACCACATGAAAGAGTTAAGTAACATAACCACATGAAAGAGTTAAGTAACATAACCACATGAAAGAGTTAAGTAACATAACCACATGAAAGAGTTAAGTAACATAACCACATGAAAGAGTTAAGTAACATAACCACATGAAAGACTTTGTGATATATCCACATGAAAGAGTTAAGTAACATAACCACATGAAAGAGTTAAGTAACATAACCACATGAAATAGTTAAGTAACATAACCACATGAAATAGTTTTAGTGACATAACCACATGAAATAGTTTTAGTGACATAACCACATAAAAGAGTTAAGGAGCATAACCACATTAAATAGTTAAGTAACATAACCACATCAAAGAGTCAGTAACATAACCACATGAAAGAGTTTGTGACATATCCACATGAAAGAGTTAAGTAACATAACCACATGAAAGAGTTTTAGTGACATAACCACATGAAATAGATAAGTAACATAACCACATGAAAGAGTTAAGTAACATAACCACATGAAAGAGTTTTAGTGACATAACCACATTAAAGAGTTTTTGTGACATAACCACATGAAAGAGTTAAGGAACATAACCACATGAAAAAGTTAAATAAGAAAACCACCATTTGACATATGCATGTCTACTTAATGGTTCATGATGAGATCTTAAACAGACACACAGACAGATACAGACAGACAGACAGGAAGACATAGACAGAAAGACAGACACATGGCCTGTATGCCACACATACACACACTAGGGGGAAAGAGCGGTGCCCTTTTGGGCGGTGGCATCAACAATGATGTTTTTATGCTTCTCTTCTGACTCATAGTGCAAGCCAAGGCACCACAGAGAATACAAGCCCAAAATGGACCCAGACAGGATAACTCTCCCACAGAGGTGTAGACTGACAAAGGGCAAGACCCTTGTTATATTTTAATATTTCCTGTAATCCAACCAAATGTCCTCTACTCTTCATACCCACCCATTCAACAACACACAACACACTACTCAAGGACATAATCCTTTTAAGTCACCTACTCTGCTTATTTTTAACCCTGTTGTAGCCACAAAAAAAAGCAACCAGCTAATGAATTAATTAATAGGATTGGGCCTAAAAGTAGTGTCCTATAACGTGCCAGGAAAGCTGAGGGGAGGGTGGCGAGGTTGAGAGGTCGAGTTATAAGGCCGAAGGATGGGAGGTGAAGGACGCTCACAAACGTTCAGACAAAAGAGAGAGTCAGGACACAGAGGAGGTGAGTACACTGCAAGCCTCGGCTGACCCTGCTTTACATCCACAGCATAGCCTAATGGGGAAAGATTACATCGTGCATGGAGGATTATATCGTGCATGACACCATAGCTTGTCAACATCTCAGAGAACTGTATCTGCATTTAACCTATATCTTAAGTGATAACTATCATACTGATTTTAGGAATGACTGATTAGAAGATATAGATGGGGTGTGCAATGTAGCCTTCACTGCAAGGATGGAAAATGTGTTTCAGTGTGAGCAAGCTTTTGTTCTAACCCTGCTCAGGTTAGGGATGCATTGGAACAATAACCTACACTCACTGAGGCTGCCCAGGGCTGGAATTGCCCACCTTGCTTTACTGTCATGGGATGGAATATTTTTTTTTGCCTTAATCTTTCATTGCAGATATAATTTATCTATCTAATGTTTTTAGAACTGACACTAGGCACGGAGTATAATCAAAAAACGAGTGTAGAATAGGAAAGATTTGATCAACATCTACCACCTTTGAATGGACAGGGCATGTGATGTGCCCATTTGAAATATATTCATCCGTCACCTGTATTGGCAATAATTGTAGTATGTTTACATTGGCAGCCTCAGACAGGCTTAGACAGTGGACAGAGTTAAATCGGAGCAGCTTTAATACTTGCCGCTAGGTTACGGCCACTAATGGAGAACTTCAGACAAACCGGGAGGGTTAGCATCTTGAACAGTGTGTCTATGAAGTTGTCTTGAATTTGTTACAACAGCCATTTGGGGGATTAATCTGACCTCAACTCAGATTAGGGGACCAGTGCATCGTTATGTTAATCTCCACTCCTAGTGATTAGCTACACTGGTTTAGACAAATCCAAGACTAATTAGTTTATTTTCTACTCCCATTGTCCAGCTTCACCATATAACTTATTTGCGACCAGGGAGGACTCTTATTTAGGAAAGTGTTACAGTGCCTTTTCTGTTGTGTTGAGCTGTACTGTACTTGTTATTGTATTGTAATGCTGTCCCCTATTGGTTTTTAACCATTGTTTTCTACCTCTACAGACAACCTCATCCAATTCACCACAGACATGGCAAAGTGAGTATCTTTTAAATTTACCCATCAACTAACGACAATGGCTAATTTATAATAATTTGGTGGGTGCTTATATTTGTCCTATTTCACACATTTACAAGTGTGTATTAATATGCATACGGGAATTGGAAATTGTTTTTTTTGCATATCCCAACTCTCCCTGAGACACCCAACCTATAGCACATTGCCTAAAGCTATAAGGGCTGTGTGACACCTCTGGGGCTTTAGGTTAAGAGGATCTAGATAAATCCTGATTAGGATGGATCATCTCTGGATTAGATCCGGAATAGAGCAGTTTAGAATTAACAGCCCAGAGCCTAACATACACAAGCAAAGACACAAGTAAATAGGCAAGCGATGCATTTACATTGACATTTTAGTCATTTAGCAGACGCTCTTATCCAGAGCGACTTACAGTTAGTGAGTGCATACATTTTTCATACTGGCCCCCCGTGGGAATCGAACCCACAACCCTGGCGTTGCAAGCGCCATGCTCTACCAACTGAGCTACAGATTAGGAATATTGAATTGATAGGATTATATTATGAGATACCGTATGAAAAAACCATTTATGAGAAAATTAGTATGCAAACCAAGTAATTGTCAACCACTCCTCAGTAGTGTTTCTGTTGTAACCAGATCAAAGCATACTGTAGGTCAGGTTCCCCTTCAGACAGACCTATGTGTTATGTGAAGTTAGCTGGCTGTACCAGTCATGCCAGCAGCTCCCATGCCACCCTGGGTCCTAATCCATCCAGAGCCTCAGTGGGAGGAGGGAGGGGGAGTATAGGCCTCATCCTTTAACTGGAGCTGACAGCAGGCCAGTTAGGGTAGGTCACTATACATTAAGCAACGTACTGGGATGGCTCAGTAAGGAAATCAGTGAGTTTTCAGACCGTAATGCCCATTGACACTAGGGACGATAACTAATACCACCAAGTGGAATTAGACTGAGGGCATATGGGGCCAGGCTGTGGAGGAATGGTGACGGGTTTAGATTGTTGAATCCAATCTAGAATCTAAACTCCTGACTCTTCCTATCACCCTCTCTCTGTAGAGTCTACAAGAAGACCAGCGGCAACGAATCGGTAAGAACCCCCTCTGACATCATCACTGCAGGACACACTGGTGCTCTGATGCACTTATCGCATAACAGAGCAGGAATCCATAGGCTTCCTCTAACAGAGCCAACCTATATGTATACAGCACAGCGATTCTTCAGGCTCCATCAAGATAACTTAGATTATGGCTTATCCATACCGTGTTGATGTCAGGCAGGAAGTAACCTCTCGCTCTCCCGTTCCCTTTTTCCTAGATTGCTCTCTACCTGGGGAAGAGAGACTTTGTGGACCATGTGGAGAGTGTTGACATCGTCGGTGTGTTATAAAGTTCTCTGAATGTCTTTACAGAGTAGTGTAAATGTGTGTGTGTTATATCTACATCTGTTTTTCTTATATGTTCTCTTGCAGATGGGGTGATCAAGGTGGACCCCACTGAACTTGAAGGCAGGAAAGGTAACATTCAGTTGATTTCATTGTATCTATTGAACCCTGAAAACATGCATGAAGTCATATTCAACCAATCGAGGTTCAGTTTAAATACCGAAGCCCTATCTTTCTGCAGTATGGGTGTATCTGGCATGCGCCTTCCGTTATGGTAGTGACGACCTGGATGTGATCGGGCTGTCATTCAGAAAAGACATCTGGGTACAAAGGATGCAGATCTACCCTGTTGTTGGCACCAAACCAGCCAACACCCCCATGCAGGAGGCCCTCCTGAAGAAATGTGGGGACCAAGGCCATCCCTTCACTTTCACTGTGAGTCTTACTTTGTGGCATTCCATCTCATCCTTCCACTCTCTTAGATGGTGTTGGAAACCACATCAGAGGCTTTTGTCACCATGGACATTCCCATTCAGGGAAATGGACATACTAGCCTGTTGGTTTGTATTTATTCACACCTCATCACTTCTTCCTTCCTGTCCATTTCAGATTGATACCAACCTGCCATGCTCAGTCGGCCTTCAGCCTGCACCAGAGGATGCTGGCAAGGTACGTTAGTATCTCTCTTTCTCTCTCAGATGTTCTCTCTATTTCTTCTCTCTCTCTTTCACTCTCTCGTTTTAATCCTTTCATCAAAGACAAATGTTTTCTACCCCTGCAGTCTTGTGGTGTCGACTATGAGGTGAAAGCATACATTGCCAAGGAGGCAGACGACCCTGATGAGAAAATTAGCAAGAAGTATGTATTAGTGGAATGCCATGAATTTCACACAACTGTACATGCCATTTGCTGTTGCTAGGAATCAGATTATTGTGTATTCTGATGGTTTTCTCCCTCTCTCCTGTCAGGGACACTTGCCGTCTGATTATTCGTAAGATCCAGTTTGCCCCAGGCATAGTGGGTGCTGGACCAAAGGCTGACATCAGCAAGAACTTCATGATGTCGGACAAGCCAGTCCACCTGGAGGCCTCCATAGAGAAGGAGGTAGGCCTGTAGATTTTTATTCTGTAAGCCTAGGAGAACATTGATTACTGTGCTAGTTTGCTATTGATAGGTCATTCTGTATGATACCTTTTGATTTGAACATGTTTGCTTCCATTTGGTGACCTTCAGCTCTATTTCCATGGAGACTCAATCCCTGTAAAAGTCAAAATCAACAATGAAACCACCAAAGTGGTGAAGAAAATAAAGATTACAGGTGAGTCAAAGTGGTTGTGACCCGAGTTCGCTGTCTTCATTGCGTGTGTACGTGTTTCAAATCTTGATTATGACTGAAACATCTCTTTCTGACCAGTTGACCAGACAACAGAAGTGTTGCTTTACCAATCTGATAAATATTCCAAGACAGTTCTTACTGAGGAATTTGCGTAAGTCAAGAACACACTCATTCCATTACTACTGCAATCTAGAATTACTAAGCCTTATGTCTACCTATACCCCAATACTCAACTCAAACACAACTTCCTGTTTGTGTGGTCATCCTGTGCAGGGAGGAAGTAAAAGGTGAATCCACCATGGAGAAGACATTCGTGGTGATCCCTCTGCTGTCCAACAACAAAGAGAAGCGTGGTCTAGCCGTGGACGGCAGACTAAAGGATGAGGATACCAACCTGGCTTCCACCACAATGTGAGTAAATGAGTTCCCCAAGACATACAGTTGAAGTCAGAAGTATACATACACTTAGGTTGGAATCATTAAAACTTGTTTTTCAACCACTCCACAAATGTCTTGTTAACAAACTATAGTTTTGGCAAGTCGGTTAGGACATCTACTTTGTGCATGACACAAGTACTTTTTCCAACAATTGTTTACAGACAGATTATTTCACTTATAATTCACTGTATCACAATTCCAGTGGGTCAGAAGTTTACATACACTAAGTTGACTGTGCCTTTAAACAGCTTGGAAAATTCCAGAAAATTATGTCATGGCTTTAGAAGCATCTGAGAGGCTAATTGACATCATTTGAGTCAATTGGAGGTGTACCTGTGGATGTATTTCAAGGCCTACCTTCAAACTCAGTGCCTCTTTGCTTGACATCATGGGAAAATCAAAAGAAAAGACCTCAGAAAAAGATGTGTAGACCTCCACAAGTCTGGTTCATCCTTGGGAGCAATTTCCAAACACCTGAAGGTACCACGTTCATCTGTACAAACAATAGTACGCAAGTATAAACACCATGGGACCACGCAGCCGTCATACCGCTCAGGAAGGAGATGCGTTCTGCCTCCTAGAGATTAACGTACTTTGGTGCGAAAAGTGCAAATCAATCCCAGAACAACGGCAAAGGACCTTGTGAAGATGCTGGAGGAAACAGGTACAAAAGTATCTATATCCACAGTAAAACGAGTCCTATATCGACATAACCTGAAAGGCCACTCAGCAAGGAAGAAGCCACTGCTCCAAAACCACCATAAAAAAGCCAGACTACGGTTTGCAACTGCACATGGGGACAAATATCGTACTTTTTGGAGAAATCTCCTCTGGTCTGATGAAACAAACATAGAACTGTTTGGCCATAATGACCATAGTTATGTTTGGAGGAAAAAGGGGTAGGCTTGCAAGCCGTAGAACACCATCCCAACCGTGAAGCACGGGGGTGGCAGCATCATGCTGTGGGAGTGCTTTGCGGCAGGAGGGACTGGTGCACTTCACAAAATAGATGGCATCATGAGGAAGGAAAATTATGTGGATATATTGAAGCAACATTTCAAGACATCAGTCAGGAAGTTAAAGCTGGGTCGCAAATGGGTCTTCCAAATGGACCAAGCATACTTCCAAAGTTGTGGCAAAATGGCTTAAGGACAACAAAGTCAAGGTATTGGAGTGGCCATCAATAAGCCCTGACCTCAATCCTATAGAACATTTGTGGGCAGAACTGAAAAAGCGTGTGTGAGCAAGGAGGCCTACAAACCTGACTCAGTTACACCAGCTCTGTCTGGAGGAATGGGCCGAAATTCACCCAACTTATTGTGGGAAGCTTGTGGAAGGCTACCCGAAACGTTTGATCCAAGTTAAACAATTTGAAGGCAATGCTACCAAATACTTATTGAGTGTATGTAAGCTTCTGACCCACTGGGAATGTGATGAAAGAAATAAAAGCTGAAATAAATCATTCTCTCTACTATTATTCTGACATTTCACATTCTTAAAATAAAGTGGTGATCCTAACTGACCTAAGACAGTGCATTTCTACTAGGATTAAATGTCAGGAATTGTGAAAAACTGAGTTTAAATGTATTTGTCTAAGGTGTATGTAAACTTCCGACTTCAACTGTAGCTCTACCACACCTTCCTCTCCTTCTGTAGATGACGATAAAACACATTTAGTGCATTTAAATGCCTGAGGTAACACATCCCTGTCCTGTCCTCCCCTCTCCTAGCATTCGTCCTGGCATGGATAAAGGAATGCAGGGAATCATGGTCTCTTACAAAATCAAGGTGAACCTCTTGGTCTCCAGCGGAGGCCTCTTGGGAGGCCTAACAGCCAGGTAAGAACTGGAGTTGATATATGACATACATGTATATACTGAACACAAATATAAATGCAACATGTAAAGTGTTGGTCCCGTTTCATGAGCTGAAATAAAAGATCCCAGAAAATTAACCAAATGCATAAAAACCTTATTTCTCTCAAATCTTGTGCACAAATTTGTTTACATCCCTATTCCCTGTAAGTGAGCATTTCTCCTTTGCCAAGATAATCCATCCACCTGACAGATGTGGCATATCAAGACGCTGATTAAACAGCATGATCATTACACAGGTGCATGTTGTGCTGAGGACAATAAAAGCCCCTCTAAATGGTGCAGTTTTGTCACACAAGACAATTTTGTTTTGAGGGAGAGTGCAGTTGGCATGCTGAATGCAGGAATGTCCACCAGAGCTGTTGCCAGATAATTGAATGTTCATTTCTCTACCATAAGCTGCCTCCAACATTGTTTTAGAGAATTTGGCAGTACATCCAACCGGCCTAACAATCACAGACCACATGTAATCACGCCAGCCCAGGACCTCCACATCCGATTTCTTCACCTGCGGGATTGTCTGAGACCAGCCACCCGGACAGCTGATGAAACTGTGGGTTTGCACAACCGAAGAATTTCTGCAACAAACTGTCAGAAACAGTCTCAGGGAAGCTCATCTACATGCTCGTCGTCCTCACCAGGGTCTTGACCTGACTGCAGTTCGGCGTAATTCGGCATAATTCCTGGATGCTGTAAATGTCCAGTTCTTTCATGGCCTGCATACACATCAGATATGTCACCCATTGAGCATGTTTGGGATGCTCTGGATCGACATGTACGGCAGCGTGTTCCAGTTCCCGCCAATGTCCAGCAGCTTCGCACAGCCATTGAAGAGGAGTGGGACAACGTTGCACAGGCCACAATCAACAGCCTGATCAACTCTATGTGAAGGAGATGTGTCGTGCTGCATTAGGCAAATAGTGGTCACAAAAGATACTGACTGGTTTTCTGATCCACGTCCCTACCCTACCTTTTTCTTAAGGTATCTGTGACCAACAGATGCATATCTTTATTCCCAGTCATGTGAAATCCATAGATTAGGGCCTAATTTATTTTTCAATTGACTGATTTCCTTATTGGAATTGGAATTCAGTAAAATCTTTGAAATTGTTGCATGTTGCGTTTATATTTTTCTTCAGTGCATAATACTGTATGTCAGTGAGGCATTGTTGGACAGACATGATTATGTTGCCCACTGATAATGTACATTTTTGTTTCGCCACAGTGATGTCGGAGTAGAAATCCCCTTGATATTGATGTCCCCCAAACCCGCAGATGTGTAAGTACAACTCTACTACCTTGTTTATAAGTGTGACATGACTGATTAATGTGTGATGATATTCTGGCATGCGGGACTATTTCAGTATTCCAATGATTCAATATTTTCCAATTTTTTCCCATAAGAATGCTGATCTTATGTGTTTGTGCATTTCTTGAACTACAGCCCAGTGGAGTAAATGCCTCTGTAGTGCAGGTGAGGTCACTCCAATGTAACATGTTTTAGGCCCGATGTTCACTTCTTCAAGGGGTGCAAAAGCTATATTTGGCAATAATGGGAAAGGGTTGAAATTGTTGCATGGGAAAGAAACGTTTTGCATTGTTTTCTCATAGGAGATACAATCAAGGTATAGAATTACACCAGCCTTAGCTCTTAACTAAAGAAGTGCACAATGTCGGCACAATGTATCCTCTTGATATGCTTATGTATTGTTTTGCAAAATGACCACATACTTAGATAAATATGCCAATTAAAGATTATACTGCAGCACAGTGCACAAGATATCACGGTTTGATAGTGGACTCAAAAGAAAGAAAAACTATTGAACAGAACAACCACATATTCAAGCAATTCCTTGTCAGATAGCTGATGTGATCTTGTGTTTCTCCCCCTCTAGAACGGATATCAAATTTGAGTAGATTCCTAAACAGAAGATGCAGAAGGACGACAAGGAAGAGAAACCGCGACAGACAGCAGACTCAGACACGCTTAAAGGCCAACAGACGCCAGAGAAACTAAACACCAATAGGAAACACAGCAAACACCCAAGACTATCACAAACATATACATTTCCCACTGATTGACTCTTCCCACTGAACACACACTGGTTGAATTAACGTTGTTTCCATATCATTTCAACAAAATTATGTTGAACCAATGTGAAATAGACGTTGAATTGACATTAAATTGACGTTTGTGCCCAGACCTTTCTTCAACATTACCCCTATTGATAAGGGCACATGCATTCTACACCAATCACACACACTGGGATGTCATCATATCCCAGTTAGAAGAGGGATCTCAGAATCCCCTTTAACGAAAGACAGATAACACAATTCATTACTAGCCACTATAGGTCAACATGTAATTTCTATAGTTTCAAATGTTTGCCTTTTTCAAGTGAACTCTGCAATCAAGAATATATAATAGCTTTTAATTTTTTTGCACATGTTATCTCAAAAGGAACTCAAACTTGCTCTAGTAGCGTTTAAGTGTTAATAAATTAATGGATGGATAGGCAGTGGTAGGTGGGGACAAGACTGTGGAGGAACCCTGATTGGTGCACTCTTATGACAACAGAAACATATTAAAAGATGTTCACCTCCTACTTCCTGTGTCAAGTCTTCATGTGTATCTGCACACTGTATTCTTCTGTTGGTTCACCTCTTCTTTCCTCTGATGATAATAAGCAATGCCCCACAGCCATCAAAGTCTCTCCAAACCTTTCAAAGCAATAAGCTCTTGGATTTTGTCAACCTCAAAATCACCAAAGACCGATAAAGATAAACCAACATTCAACCACACCCCAAAAAATTATCTAGACAGCATGGTTCTCAAATGGCTCTGAAACAAATGACCAGTGCAGCAACACCGCACAGCCAATACACGCAGAGGACATTCAGGTACAAACTGAAACCAGGTACAAACAGGACTGGGGTGCTTTTACATCTTTTACATACTCACGACTAATTAGGGTCTCCTGGGAAACATGAACCAAAACTATGGTTACTACCGTGTCACACATGGACAATGGCTAATGCAGTCACATAGGCATTTAAACCATCACATATTACATTTTACAACATAATATATTGCTTGCAACAAAGCAAATTGTAAGCCTACAATCATGATGTGGCCCCAACGCTTTCTTTTGAAAAATAGCGCTATCACCTGTCCATTACACACTCTTAGAAATAAGGGTACGGTATTGTTCCCTAAGGTACAAAAATATCAAAATACACATAATGTACCTTCAGAGGTACACATATGATCTCACATAGTACTGATGTGCAGATAATGTAGTATAATGGTACTTTTTTGTACCCAATATTTTGAATATAAAGGTACAATCATCACACTTTCACTCTCAATGTAAGGAGAAGGTACATTTCTGTTTCCCAGGGTACAAACACATTTTGTGTACCCTCAACTCTTGATGGTACTGATCTGTACCTTGAAGAAAGGTACTTATTTGTACCCACCATAAGGTACAATGATGAATTTTTGCCACCTAAAATGAACGGCTTTGTCACTACTCTAAAAAGGCAAATTTGTACTATAATAATTATCATTATCATATTTCCCAGCATGCTCTACTATATGTTGATTTTTTTAAATAGTTTTTAATATCTGTGGTTTTGCATGTACATTGATTGATTGATTTATTGATTGATTGATCAATCTTATGCTACACAAAGCTAAATAACATATCGTTTTCTAAACTAATCCAATCAGTTAGTTAGATTTTTTGCACCTGTTAATGAAATGGCTGTTCCAGTTTTTAAATGGCTTAGGTAGTCTCCTCACAATGTTCCTAACCCTGGCAGTCATTCTAAATGCAGGTTGCGGGTGAATAGTAATGCCAACTGTTGGATATCCTAACTCTGGCTGGATTCCAATAGGAATCACTTTGCAAGCCAGCATAATGTGACTTGCAGGTAAGCTTGAAAATTAATGTAACTTTCCCAGGTTTTCCAGAAATCCCGTTTGGAAAATTCCTGGAAGTGGGAGGGAATAAGCAGGAAATCCAGAATCCTTCAACCAGGATTTCAAGGAATTTGGGAATAGTTACCGGAATTTTGTAACCCTACTTGCAGGCCTGATGTGGCATGTAAATCATGAGGTTCCGGCCACTGAATTAGGTAAAAATTAGGCCTCAAAATAAGGCCTTCTGAGATGTGTAATGTATTGTCATAAAGAGATTCATTTTAATGATAACATACGCCTAGGAACTCACTTGGTGAAGGCCACAGGACTGAACATGTATGAATTCAACAACCATGTCTCTGTCACTAACAAATACAGTCATGGGTGGTAACTCTACAATTCCCTCGAAAAGGCAAGGCACACGGGGAAATTATACAGGAGGCGTGGCTTAGTGGGGCCGCGGTTTTCAGTTAGTTATTTTTGGCCACCCTAGAGTAGAAGTGTTGTACCAGTTTAAGTGATCTATGGTAGAGGTACATTTTTGCTACTTTCAATTAACAAATGGCTTTGTCACTGTGGTGGTTCCCAATAAAGGCAAAATGCACTTTTTCTTAAAGCACACTTTTGTACCTGTGGAGTATACTGTATGTAAGAAAGGTACTATCTGAGGTATTATGCACCTGTAACTAAAGGTACAAATGATGTACCTTACAGAGTACCACCCCAGTGACAAGCTATTGTACCCCTTTAGGAACAAATCTAAACTTTATTTTCTAAGAGTGCAGCTAACACTTTTGGGTTTGTAGTCTGTCCGCCAGGGCACATCGGCTCTCTCATCACAATTTAACATGACAGACCTAGCAGGAGTACGGTATGGGGGAGAATGACACGAGGCAGAAATAATGGTGCTAAGTACAAACCTTCATCTCCCGAATACAAGCCTACTAATTTCATGTATGAACCAACTACGGGAGTGATGGTTACATG